TCAGCCTTTCTGCTCCTATGATGCTGCTTGGCCTGCTGTGTTCATCCAGCTCTGCACCTTGTTGTCTCGGATTCTCCAGTATCTGCAGTTCCTACTATCTCTAGATAGAAGTGGTGTGGGTTTGGAAGGTGTGCTGTGTTCATCCAGCTCCACACCTTGTTATCTCTGGGTTTGGAAGGCGCTATCCAGGAATCTTTGGTGAATATTTTGAATTCTTTTAATAACAAAACTTCTATATGCACTCAATAATATAACTGCCTGAAAGTAAATAGTTAAGAGTACACTGCAATAATGACAAATATTCTGCAGAACTAAAAGGAGCAATCTGATGCTATATGATTCTGGCTGAGCAGATGCAATACACAGTTTGAATAAAACCCAAAAAACATTAAAAATTTAATTGACACTATAGGAATTTACAAAGAGCCATATAAACAAATAATTTCAATAAAGGCTTTCAGGCCTCCAGCAATGTGTTTATAACTTGGTCTAATAGGGAACAGTAATGATAGATGAAATTGAAACTTGGGAGTTGGTATTGGCTCATGCTTGTTAACTAATATCACTGACACACACAATTGCAGGTGATATCTTCTGTTTAAAGTTTTTGAGGACTTTTCACAATAAAAGTCTTTGGCAGTGTTTGAGAGGAGTGGAAGAAGAGCTTGGTTATATCTTATTCTGTGGATATGCAAAAGTAGTCTAGGTATAAATTATTATTCTGAAGTCCATTGTTTATATTCCGTTTAATTGGTTTTCAAGTTTTCTTTATTGGGGATCTTTGGTTCCTTCTTGTCTGGAGCATATCACTATTTAAATGAAACAGTGTGGTTGTGAAATATGTTTTTGCTTATTTGTAATAGATTATTGTAAACCAACAGACAAAAAAAAACAGAATTATCTAGACATTATGCTGGTGGTACAGTCTCTCTAGCCCCAGGGTGATGGAAATATGTCATTACACACTCTTGGAATGGCCTGAGCTGCAAACTGTAATTGGCATGAAGGAAGAGTGCTATTTGACCTCCTAGCTACTCTGAACTTCTTGTAACATCAACGTAACAGTTACTGTTGTTGTAATGTAGGCTAATACTCTTGCCAACTAAGCTTTCACCAAAAATAAGTAGCCAGTGTTTTTGTGTGTCGATTATGATCCTTTTAATATTCCTTTCAAATGCAACAAAGAATTCTATTTTGATTTGTTTCAGTCCTGTTTTATTTAAATTGCATCCAGTGTGTTCACCATGCTAATTTACTTTCTGTTGTTGAGAATACACTGGATAATACTATGTGATAATTTTGCAGCTTGTAACAAAGATTATGTTATATTAGGTATAAACAAGGTGTAGAGCTGGATGAACACAGCAGGCCAAGCAGCATCAGAGGAGCAGAAAAGCTGACGTTTCGGGTCTAGACCCTTCTTCAGAAATGGGGGAGGGGATGTGGATTCTGAAATAAATAGGGAGAGAGGGGGAGGCGGATAGAAGATATCCATTTCAAGCCTACCGACTCCCACGCAACCTAGAATACACCTCCTCTCACCCATCTTCCTGCAAAAATGCCATCCCCTATTCCCAATTCCTCCGCCTCCACCGCAACTGCTCCCGAGATGAGGCATTCCACTCCCAGACATCACAGATGTCCTCGTCCTCATTTTTCAAGGACCACAACTTCACCTCCACAGTGGTCGAAAATGCCCTCGACCGTGTCTCTCGCATTTTCCGCAACTCATCCTTCACACCCCCTCCCCGCAATAACAACCAAAACAGAATCCCCCTCGTCCTCACGTACCACCCCACCAACCTCCAGATCCAACGCATCATCCTCCGACACTTCCACCATCTGTAATCTGACCCCACTACCAAAGACATTTTCCCCTCCCCACCCTTATCTGTTTTCCAGAGGGACCACTCTTTCCATGACTCCCTTGTCCGCTCCACACTCCCCACCAGCCCCACCACCTCCAGCACTTTTCCCTGCAACCGCAGGAAGTGCTACACCTCCCCCTACACCTCC